TACTCCGAGTAAGCTAGCCATTATGTTTGCAATTGGAAAATTATTGTGTGTTCAAATATATGAATATAAATGCAAATGCTAGCTAGTGAACAGACTCCCAATTAATGTAGAGAGTGAAAACTCATGCTACGCTCACAAAGCCAAACTATTTTTGCGTTTTGCAACATTTTTGACCTTAGCCCAATCATTGGGACGTTCACCAAGCGTGTTCACACACACCCTCTCCAGTGAGAGTATCTACGTTGTAGGTCACTTTGCACTCTTTGTGTGAGAAAAAAAAAATTCAAAGGTATTCCTCTCCATGTTAAGGTGGCCCGGCCCTCTATACACTCCCTTTCCCAGTGCTACTGGTTTTAAAGTGTTGTTACGAGTCGCTCCTATCGTTCTTCGCTTTCGCCGACCACGTGACCAAAAGAAACGGAGGTTCTGAAGACGAGAATGCTCCCTATAGTTTTATGAACGCATGCGGGCTGAGGACGAAAGCTTCAGTAATCTGCGCACGCTCAAAGGAAAACGTCATTTTTTTTATATAGTTTATGATGTCAGCATGACCACAAAAAGGAAAATAACAGTGAATTTTCTCGCCCTTTCTTCGGGGAAATTCCGTCAAAGTTGGCAGTCTGCTAACAATTTTCTTTTGAATTTAACAGGTTATAAATAGTTAACTTAAGTTGGAACTCGTTTTTTAGGTAAATCTAAAATTCATATCCCGCCGTACTCGATGGACCTTGAAAAGTTTAGAAGATTTCATCGAAGAAAATTCGAGACAATCACAACGCAAGGCCATATAGACGGTGAAAACGCGGTTCATCCAAGACTAAAAACAGGGATCATCAACAGTATGACGACAGAATTTCTGCCGCAAATCAGTGCGGGCCAGTGCGTCGCAACAAAGCTAGTGTGACATGGTGCAACGTTTCAACTACTGTCTCAGACAAAAATAGGAAATAACGCTTGAAGTGCTTGGTCAGAATACGGACATACCAAATATCAATCCCCTCCCCAGGGCTTCTCGAAGGGACGGACCCTTTGAAGGGGGAGGGGGACTGGGCAGTTTTTTTTCCAAATTTTACGTTAAACAAATTCTTGAACAAGCTATCGCCCACCTAAGAAAATCATGCACAACCCAGAAAATTGCTTAACCCCACTCCTTCCCTCAATTGAATCATGGTCCATCCCATATCCCTAAAAACGTAAACCTCAGTGCGCGGAACCGGAAATAAAACTCTTGAAAACCGAGGGAAACTGGTAGTAACCAGTGTCGCCCCAAAGTCACGAGAATAGAGTCACGAGTGGGTCACATGCGAGACAGTTTTCCTGTGCCAGGAATATCACTTTCCTGCAGTTTCTGCATGCTGTTGGAGCGTGGTGGGAACGGTGAGTGTGTTTTACGTTTTTTACATATCTATATTTCAAAAAATTGAGGTCCTCGTTGCCGACGTTTTTACGATTTGTTAGGTGAAGAGATGGATAGGAGAGATGGTGCGTTTGTAGAGTCTTGCAAACTTTCATTGCTTTCATAGCTTTCAAGAATAAGCAGCTTTGTACTTTTGATTGATCAGTTCTCTCCAATCTGTTCAAAGGGTTGTGTTACTAACATAATTTTGAAGCTACTTATTGAATTTTTTAAACCTCACCTCGATTGCCTTCCGTGATCATTATTTTACTTCACCAGTTTCCTTCATAGGCGTTAAACGCGTTGTGAATTTGTGCGACTCGCTGATCGTTTCAGCATTTTACTTTCCTCGTGGAAGGAAAAATAAGTAGATTCCAAGAATTTGCAACGACGTCATTTTCGTTTTATGGACCACCCGATGGAACGAAAATGAAATGAGGAAATATGCTTTCACTGTCAATGTCTTTCCGCTTTAAGAGGTGACTATCACGACTTGCAATTTCTCCCCAAATAATTCGTAGAATTAAAGCTCGCACGCAATCTTATGAAGTGATCATCTATTCATAGACCTCGAAACGGAAACTTTCTTGTTTATAATCAAGTACTCTCATTTCGTTAAATTTAACTCCCTTATGTTCTTTGAGGGTGAGTAATTTCTCTCAACTACTTTTTAAGAGGCACTGTGGTCTACATTTTGCAGGGCTAAAACTTGGCAGTCACCAGGTTGTCAGTGGCAACTTAAAACTGAGGTTTATTTGCTGGAAAGGAAGGAAGGAAATTATGCAAGATTTGCTCAAATGTGTCCATATTATTTCTTCACTAAATTAGTCGAAAACTTGTCGCAAAATTGTGACTGAAGAAGAGGACCTATTTAGTTGCCAAACATTTATTTTAGTCAGGATTGTATCCAATTTTGTCTGTTGCAATTTCAAGCCAGTTGTTAGACAGTAGACAGTTGTTCGACTGTAAATTATTAGCAAAACAATTGTTGGGAGATGTAAAAGTGTAAAATCTCTGTAGGGAGGGCAGTGCATTTTGGAATTTCCAAAGGCAAGAGGGGGTTAGAATAATAAATAATCTTTATGCAGGAAGCTCCAGTTGCATTGCGTGATTTTCAGAGTGGTCCCCAGTAACTAAGGTAAAATAGGGTAAAAAATTAATAACTAATCACAATCAAATCCAAGTACTAACAAAAAATGAAAGCAAATGGTCATTTCGAGTTGTTGATTTGCATGATTTGCTAAGAAATGGCTCATTAGATGCACGCATATCAATTGTTCTCTTTCCTGTTGCCATTGTGTATTGCGTGAGGTTTCTACTGTACTAGGAAGCGTGGCTCTAACATTCACCTTGAAGCACTTGAACGTCTTTACCAGCTGGCTCTATAGCCAAAGCCTTTTGAACTTTCAATACAACACTGCTGTCAAGTTGAAATTTAGACTCCATGTGTTAACAATTTTAATAACTCAATTGCTACATACAATGTTGCATACCTCAGTTCAGGTATCAGTTAATCAATGTATATGTATGACTTTTCCAAGCATCACAATGTTATGCAGTATGATTGTACTGCATACTATGATGCTTAATATTGGGCTACGTATTAAATAAGTCTTGCTGCATTGATTTATGTTGTGTCTGGAGTTATAACATACAACCGGGCTGACATACTATCGTTCGTAGAAAGTGAAGTCTTTCCTTGGCACAAATAACCTGTTGTTTGAAATTGCAGTGAATGTTGGAACTGAAGGCTTCTTTAGGAGAGCTTAATATAGCTGCCTCAACTTGAACCAGATATAATGTAGCCAACAGTGAAGGCATTATTTTCTCAGTAAATTAGGTTTCGGATGTTGCCATCTTGGATTGTAATTGGATACTTGAGCGGTAGAGGGTTGGGGCAGAGAGGGGTGGGGGTGGGGCACGTAATATTATTAATTATTTTTCCTTCCCCTTCCCCTTCCCCCTAGCCCATTTTTTTTCCACCTCACGCCAACTCCCTTGGCAAATTTTCCATCACCCCAGCCCTCCACAGTTACCAAATATAAGATGGCGGCCTGATACAAAAATGTGCACTCGCACACCCAAAATATGCCTGCACTGCAGGCTAGATACATTTGCAGCTTAAGGGACTTTCCAGTTTATATCATGTAAGCCTCATGGACCACTATAGAATTTCCTGCAGTAAATCAAAGTCCGATAAACTTGCTTAGAAATGGAAAAAAAAAAAGTTTTGAATGCAGTTCCTTTAAATTTCATTTTTATTTATGTTCTGAGCTTTGTACCTATTTTCATTTTAGGAAGAAATGGAAAACTTGAAAATTATTTTAAAGGGAAAATGTTTTGATTTAAGACCAGAACTATAAATTTCAATACCTTTGGTCATCAAACAGGTTTGATCAAATCATGTCAGATCGAAGTTCTTCTTTCAAATGTTATATAGCAATGTGCACAACAGTACAACTATTAGTTAGTACATAACTTCAATATGATAGAATTGGACTAGTCATCATGACTAGCAAGATTGGGATTGTTCAAGTCCTATTCTGACTGCTAGCTGGTGTTTTTCTCAGTAGTTATTAGTTCATCTCCTCAGTCATGTTTGTACATTTATATCAGAGATAACTGGTCTGCCTCCAGCCCAACTAGTTGGTGTTTTAATCATGTTATGTTCATTTACAAAATAAATTATATTTGTTTCAGTGTTTGCATACTTTGGCCCAGAAAATATTGGGGGAGCACCAGTTAAGATATTTACCCTATTATCTTTTTAACTTGCTTTAAGCAGACACCTTTCCTAAGTGCACACTTTACTGGTTGCAAGTTAAGGGTGTCCTCTAATGCAAGGTTCAAACTTGTTATTCTCACCTAATAGTTTGTTAAGATTTTGGTAAGGCAGGTACACTTTTAAACTATACTTTTTTTCACAAACAGCAGTCCAACTAGGTCTAAAATCTATGGTAATCTTGGAGTGCTCATCCTATTAATTATACTTCTTTTGACAATTAAGTATATAGATGTTGTAGGTCAAAATGATTTTAACTTAGTTTGATTCTCAATTTCCTTTGTCTTCAGTAGCCCTAATTATGCGTGATCCATGAATAATTTGGGAGACAAAGGAATTTCATTTTAGCCTGAATTTCATTTTGATCCACAAAATATGCATCCACAGGCAGATACATACACCTGTACTACAGTAGTAATGCGATACTTTCGAGTGCGATAACATGGAATAGGCTGATTTAGCAACAGGACAAGAAGGTCAGATGACAATTGCAGGGCATGCTGAATAACCTGGATTCTGTTCTAATTTGACCATATTTGGGTATTTGTACACAGCGTGCTGTCGTCAAGTGAGGTTCCCATTCTCTTGCTAAATCAGCCTAATACCCCACAAATCTCTTGTATTTTCTCAGGGTACCCACAAGTCTTTAGGTAAGTCTCAGTTTATGGGCAAGCGTGTTTACCAAGAAAATACAAGTGACAAGTGGGATATTCCATGATGTACTACTCAAAAGCTTATACCAATCCATAGAAAATACAGTGGCCAAGACAATCAATGTGACATATACACGGCACACAATGGGAAGGTTGGATGTATTACCATCAAATATAAAATTGCTAATCCTGTTTTCTGATTGGCGGTATTTTCTATGGCATGGTATGAATGTTGGTACACTGCACCATTGTGCCTAGATCCCAATGTGATACATGTACAAGACACTGTCCAAGTCTGTGTTAAACAAGGGCCTCTGATTGATCTAACCAGCCAGATGTTTTTTTTTTTTTTAATGTTTCTAATATTAAGGCTTTTCTTGTTCAGATGAAGTGGTGCAAGGAATCAGTGTTAACACTGCTCTTTAGCGTCGTTATTTTGTCCTGTGCCAAGGATAACCAATGTCCTGGAAGCAAAGCAAGTTGTCCTGATGACTCCACTTGCTGTCATCTGCACGACGGCAGCTATGGTTGCTGCCCTATTAAGAATGCCGTCTGCTGTCAGGATTCTGTTCACTGCTGTCCTGCTGGATACTCCTGTGACGTTATAAAGGGTGTCTGTCAGCTGCGTGACAAGTCAAAGCCTTTGCTGAAAAAGATCCCTGCAATTCCAACTGTGGTATGTTGATGATTTATCTTTCTATTCACTAACTATAACCCGTCTATTGTACTCAAAGTTCGAGCATGCTTGGTCTACATTTATTTACAGGCCTTCTGACAGGGTACAATAAAAAAAAACAAATTACATGAAATTTTCGGGGCAGGTTATTAGCTAAGAATGGGCTGTTATGCAGTAAATTATGCAAATTGTGCGTACTTTTTTCCTCCTCTATTTTAAGCATATTTTACTAGGTTTCATAAGAAGAAAACTACTTTTGGGCTGCTCCAACGACAAATTGAACCTAAAGGAACAAGAATTAAGCATCTACAGTATGCATAAATTGTGATAAAAAAGACATGATCAGCCACATTTGCCCCAAATTGTCTCATGATTCATTTTCCATTTTTTTTGTTGTTTTGTTTTTTTGCTGTGAGTAACAAAATTCTCCTTTAGTTAGCTTTTGTCAAATCTCCCTTCATATGAATTGAGAGAATCTGAAGATTGTTCTTGAATTTACCAGTAATGCAATGAGAAGTTTTGAATACTTGATGACAACTTTTTAAGGGATGACATATTGTGTGACATCATTGCTTTATGCTGGCATGCATGCATTCCTTTGGATAATGATTTCACATAGTTTGTCGCGCTTATGTCCGTGCGCGACATAAGCGCACGATTTATCCCCCTGTGGAAGCGAAATGCACTCTGGGAGTTCCTTTGCTGCTTTCCTTTGCTGTTNAAGATAATAAGGTGTTGATTTCAGAGAGAGGAACTTTTCAGCAGAGTGCTTTATATTTGGGTTGGTATATTATGCTGACTCCTAGCACATGGATAAACAAGATGGGCCTGGTACATGAACTACTTGAATGAACCACCAATGGACTACCCTAAATGTAAAACCCTAAAATTTCTAACCTAAAAGTTTAAGAATCAATTTGTCTGCTCATGTTCCAATCTTCTAGGAACAATTTTTAAACGTCATCACTTCTGCATGCATTGCGTGCTGTTTATTTTGTATGTTGTGCTGCCATCAGCATTAGGGGTCATAAGAGAACTCAGAATCTCTTCCAAGTACTCTTTCTCTTTCTTCCTTTTTAAAAAAGGCAAGTTCAAAAGTAGGGACTGCTGCTTTTTCTCTTTTATTGAAATTTCTTTTCTTTTCCGTTCAAAACTTTATCTAAATTCTCTTCACAGAAACTTTGAAAATGCACAGAAGCTGCCACCATTTTTTTAGCCTACCCACTATCCACAACAGAATAGACCATGAGTAGGGTAGCCAATAAGAGAGTGGCCTTCTTGATAGACTGCTAGTAGATTTAAATGATTGTATACCAAAACCACACTCAACTCTTTGTAAAGCTGTGTCATTAGTATGCAATTAGTTGAATTACACAGTCTCCTTAGTCATCCTGTTACAACACTCAATCCAGATAAATGAAATAATACATCAATTCAACATAAATAGGTTTTAGCAGGATCGCATTGACAAAGTGGCACTTCATCGACCGCTTCTGGATCTAATTGATTTACATGTATATCATTATTGTGACCCACAGAACGAGATTGCTGAAGGGAATGTTGTCATTTGTGCTAGTGGTGAGGGGCAGTGCCCCCCTGACCACTCCTGTTGTTCTGTACCAGGGAGTGACCAGGTCCACTGCTGCCCTGGTGGATACTCGTGTGAGAAGGGCCTGTGCCAAGAATCCAGTATTGAATTTCCTGCAGCCATCTTTACTTCATCTGCGGCTAAAATTGTGAAATGCAATCAGGAGTTTGCTTGTCCTGAGAGGTAATGCTTGATGTGCATGCAACTATTAGCATTGCAAGGCGTTACGATACAGAACTTTTCCCTGTTATCTTAAGTTTGGTTTGAGTTTGTTCCAGTCAAAGGTGCACATGGCCATCAGTTTTTGTATTACTAGTGGGCCACAATGCAGCTCTCTAAATTGTGAGTATGGCAGCTGGTTAAATACCTACAGCTGTATGCACTGCATGCACAAAATATAATTTTTATTCCATTTCGCTTTTTTGTGTTTCAAACAGCTCTCTAGACTTGCTACAAGTTGACCTTTGCTTAATCCTTTGCTTAGTCATCTCCCTCAAGCAAAACGAGAGGGTAATCTTCGAGCAATGAAGTCGCAATTGCAAGCAACGTACATGTAAGTCATGAAAGGTCAATGGCAAAACCAACAAGGCAGGAAAGAGTAATTGGAAAGGCCTTTTTGAAAGTCTAACAGCTCTCTTGCACCCTCACCCATACTTATAGTATGTAACATATAATATGGGACAGCTATAGACCCTATTCATAAATGGCTGCCAATTAAAAATTCTCATTTAAGTATTTAAATTAGTCCAACTTACCTCGTTTTTGAGTTGATAATTCAGAAGAATTTTTACTCTCCAATTAGGTTAGCTGGTCTAATTTAAATGCACACAAAAGAATTTTAAATTGGCAGCCATTTATGAATAGGGTCTATAGTTTGATTGTTTTCATTCATTGATTAAACGTTGTATTTGTTCATTTTAAACTTGTAGGCACACCTGCTGCAAAGCTGATAAGAGCTACTTGTGCTGTCCTTTCCCACAAGCTGTTTGTTGTTCTGACCACCTGCATTGCTGTCCAAGAGGTTTCAAATGCTCTCCTGATGGGAAAACCTGCTCATCAGGTGTTTATACCCTACCTGCTCTTTCTGCGTCATCACCAATGTCTTTGAAGAAAGGTTTTAGTAAACTTCTGCATCTGATGATGGTAAAGGTTGCAAAAAGAGGAAAGTCGCCCTCTGTAGAGCGTCCTAAGTTGTCAGTTGTCAAGGCTTCAAAAATGCGTGACAGTGTTGTTTGTCCTGATGGTGAGTCGGAGTGTCAAAGTACCCATACATGCTGTGAAAGTTCTTCAGGGCTATGGGGCTGTTGTCCACTTCCACATGCACTTTGTTGCAACGATGGGGTGCATTGCTGTCCAAAAGGATACTTTTGCTTTCCTTCAGCTGGAACTTGTTTAAAGGAAACCAAACGAATTGCTGTATTACAGAC